AGGAGGCTGCAAAGCTTGGTAAGAAATATACACATTATCCTGCCCATGCAATTGTAACCCCTCTGTACAGTATGTTCACAAATAAAATAAAATAAAATTAAAAAAAATAAAGGAAATGGAAACATGAAAAAAAGTATGTATTATGACAATGACATTGCAAAATGACTTTTATACCCATAAGGGAGATTATATGTACTTATATAAAAATCTTATTCTGCATAGAAAATTACATACAGTCAATCGGCATAGCTTTGGTTTTCATTGGCGAATTGGTTAAGGAGGAATAAATGTGTACAATGAATATATTGTTTTGTAGGCTAAAGAAGGTGCATTTATTGTCAGAGATTCAAGACACTTGGGATCCTACACAATTTCTGTGTTTATAAAAGCGAGAAGGTAAGCAATTGTAAATTTGGTTGCTTTAGGGATAGTGCCTGGGACAATAACTTCTTTTCTTTTCAATGGGAACACTGGGGTGAGATGGCTGATCTAAGTTAGGGTGTCAGTCCATGTTGTATCTCTGGTACACTCTGTGTCACTTTGAGTAGGTCACACAACTGCCTTCATCTTCCTCTTTCTTAGTCACCAAGTGAGGCAGTTCTAGGGGCTGTGGATATGTTCCTCAGCTCAGAGAGCTTCCTGTGCTATTCTACCTGAAGATGTGCTTTGGTTGTGGGGACTTGCAGGCCCCATGGCTAGACCAGAGCACCTGAAATCTAGCATCCCAGGAGAGAAATCCTTCAACAAGTGGTGGGAGCTGGTGGATAAACATCTACACTTCCTTATACTTCAGTGAGACAATTCTGAGGTGTATTCCCAGTTCCAGGCTTCTATAGATTTCTAGAAGAATGGAGCCCCAGGAGTGCGTGCCATACAACCTGCTCAGTAATGTACTCTATAGTGTGTTTCTTGCCTTCCTGTTCTCAAACTTCCAATCGCTGCTAGTGCATTTGCTCACTTATTTAACTAATAGTTGACATTCAATAAATATTTCTATACATTCTATGATAAATACCACTTGCTTGGGCATTGGCTTTGTCTCCTAGGCTGAAGTTTATATTTGAATCTAAGGTGCCAATGAGAGGTTAAATAATTTTGCTGAGCAGACATTGTTGAGTGGACCATTTGTTCTCTCCAATTCATACTGTTGATGAGAATTTGAGAATAGGCATCTTGTTACTTAATGAGTTAGCTTAGTTCTAAAATTGCTTGTCTAGTAATTCATCTTTTATTGATTACAGAAATACCGAGGCTACAATAAAACATTATCAGATTAAAAGGAATGACGCAGGGCAGTGGTATGTGGCGGAAAGACACCCTTTTCCATCCATCCCGGAGCTGATCAGATATCACCAGCTCAATGCAGCTGGTAAGTGAATGCTCAGGAGAGCTGGGAAGCTGGGCCTTCCTAGCAAATGAATTCTCGGTGTCAAATATTCCACCAAGACAAATTTACGTTATAGAAATAGCCTCAGAGCTTGAGATAGAATGTTTCCAGGGCAGGTTTTTTTCCCTCATTGGTATGCTTTTGTGAGTTGAGTTTTTATGTTTCTATCAGGTTGAAAATAAAAGGATCAATGACAGAGACACAGGTTTGTACATTTGTTCTGGAAATTTACATAGGGATAAATGTAAACAGGATTTTCAATACCTAAATAATGATATCTCCTTTTTTTCCATAAATCTACTCCTTACTTTAGATAGTTGCAATAGAAAGTGACCTTTAACTCTTGCATTTGCTTTTCTTTCTTGTTGGAGAACAGGAAAGCTGTATAGAACGCATCTTTCATAGCTGCACATTGAGCTAAGTATGCCAGAGGAGTGTTTGGCCATCTTCCCCAGCGATTGTTCACTGCTATTCTTACTTGTGCAATCCTTTCATCTGCAGAAAAATATGGGCTTCCAGAAATGTCTCCCACAGACTTTTTTGTCTATCGTAGAGAGATAGAGCACCATTAGTCCATTGGTAGCAATTCCTATTACAAGCGCATCTGGGCTTTCCCCCAGCCTATATTGGACCACTTGAGCTTCCATACATGACAGAATTCGAAACCCACTGTAACCTCCATGTAGTTTTGGCTTTTTATCATGTGATGATCTTTCAGATTTCATTCATACAAAAGATGTTTGGCCAAAATAGTCACTTTTATACGGGTCATTTTCCCATTATACTGATCCTAAACATCAGGAATAAATCCAAGGAAATTTGTCTCTACTGATGGGATTTTTCACATGGGTTTTCAGATAGTCAAAAAGGATTTGGTTGGAAAGAATGAGACCCAGGAGGCTATAGCTATGGCGGAAGATAGATACCTTCCAGATTACTAAACCAATTCAGAGTTTTCTCCTTTACATCCTTCTTCCTTCTTCTTTCAAAGAGAAAGTTTAAGAAAGTGTATTTATGTGATGAAGGCAAAAAAAGAGTATCAGGTTGTGCACACACTAAAAGATGTGAATAGTGTATTATCTATTTTGTTGTTGGTGGTGATGGTCATAAGGCTTGAACTCTGGGGCCTGGGCACTGTCCCTGAGCTCTTCAGCTCAAAGTGAATGCTCTACCACTTGAGCCACAGCGCCACTTCCGGTTTTCTTGTGGTTAATTGAAGATAAGAGTCTCATGGCCTTTCCTGCCTGGGCTGGCTTTGATCCGCAATCCTCAGATCTCAGCCTCTTGAGTAGCTAGGATTACAAACACCATGGCCCAGCTGAATAGTATATTATTAAGTTAAAAAATTCAGAGCAGTCTATTTTACATTAGCCATTTGGAGCTGAAACTAAGATCTGCTAGAAGAAGCCTCTAGGTCTTCAAAGTGGCTGGGAAATATTCTTTTTTGGTTTCTGAGCTTTAGAATTCTTTTCAAGACCTCTGCCATATCAGAAAATCACCTGACTATCTATTTTACAGAGAAAATGGAAGGTACAAGCTCCTTCTCCTGCTGCTTTTCCAACATGCTTTCATGCGTATTTCCTCCAACAGTAATGAGCCTGGCTCTTGTCCTCATGACTCCTCTCCTGCTAGAATGCTTCCCACCCACTTCTCTCCTGAAGCTCTTCCATTGCTTTTTTTTTTTTGCCACTCCTAAGGCTTGAACTCAGGGCCTGGGCACTGTCTGAGCTTCTTTAGCTCTGGGCTAAGAGTCCACTACTTGAGCCACAGCGTTACTTCTGGCTTTTTTTTTTTTTTTTGGTTTACGTGGTACTGAGGAGTTGAACCTAGGGCTTCATGCATGCTAGGCAAGCACTCTACCATTAAGCCACATTCCCAGCCCTCTTCCATTGCTTTTGACCATCTCCCTTCACCTGTATAGATGCTTGACTTTATTACTATAAAGGCAAAACCAAAACCCTTTTTCTTTTTAGACGTTGCTCTTTTAAAGTTGCATATTTGAAAAAATGTGTTCCATATCCATTCCTCACTTTCCGTGTACTTTGTAAATACTTGCAATCTGGCATCTGCAGCTACAGCTCCATGTTTTAACCAATGACTCCTACATGAGCACAGACAGTGTTGCTTTTTTAGTTTTTATGTATTCAGGTTTGTCTGCTACGTTTGGCAATGCCATGCCTTGAACCTGTCTGCTCCATAGATGTTTTGACAGGGCCTTGTCTTGGGTGTCTCTTACTCATTATTCCTTATGGGTTTCACAGTGTGTCCCTCTATTCTTTCCTAAACACTGTGCTTTTCCCCGGTTCATCCCTGATTGTTTTTATTCTTACCCCAGGCTTTTCTTTTTGTATACTTCTACCTGATAGATATAGACCCTCAGAATCCCTGGGACTTAACTTCAAGTTCCCATAGCATGTAGAATGATTCATTGTCTACCATCACTCTTCTTCCATATTGACTTCCTCCTCTTTCTTTTCTTTTTCTATTGTTGTTGGTCATAGGACTTGAACTTGGGGCCTGGGCTCTGTCCCTGAGCTTTTTTTGCTCAAGGCTAGCACTCTACCACTTTGACCCACAGTGCCACTTCCAGTTTTCTGGTAGTTAATTGGAGATAAGAGTCTCATGGACTTTCCTGCTTGGACTGGCTTCAAACCGTGATCCTCAGATCTCAGGCTCCTGAGTAGCTAGGATTATAGTCATGAGCTACTACTAATACTGGCCATCCTCTTGTTTTTTATCTAAAGTAGTGGTATCACCCTCCAGCCAATTAAAGAGGTTGGAAGCATAAGAGTGGTTTTTATTCTTCTTAACAGTTAACTTTTTATTAATTATCAAATATAATCAATTTCATATCCTAAATATGTTTCCTATAAGCCCCTACTTTCCCTGCCTAGTAGTACTGCCCTAATTATTGTATCAGTCTCAACTCCTCTCATTATCTTCAAAGTTCATTTTCCCCTGACCGACCTCTGTGCTCTCAAAATTGGAATATGAGTCAGGTGCCAAGGCTTATGTCTGTAATGCTTACTTCTTAAAAGGTAGAGATCAGAGGATTGCAGTTGGAGGTTAACTGGGACATCACTTTGCAAGACTTCAAATCAACCAGTAGCTGAATGCAGTGGTGTGTGCCTGTTAGTCTAGCAACAAAGGGACACACAAATAGGAGGATTCCTGTCCAGGCCAGCTTGAGCCTAAAGTGAAACCCAATCTTGAAAATTACCAAAGCAAGAAGGAATGCACAAGTGGTAGTGTGCCCTGAGTTCAAACCCCAATACCACCAAAATGTATGCATGTGAATATGAAAATGTTGCTTCCTTAGTTGAGATCTTTCCAGGGCTCTATTCACATGCTAGAAAACAATACTCCTTAGGCTGGCTTCCTAAAAGAATAATACCCAGTCTCTGAGCATAATTTCTTGCCTCTTCATCCATCCTCCTTTTTATTAAAGTGCCCACTTCCATGTTTCACTTCTTGGAGTCATCTCATGCTGCTCCCCCTGTTTAGTATGTCCTTCTTAGCATCTCCTCATTGGTTCACTCCAATCTCAGGTGTCACTTCCTCCCAGAAGACTTTATTATAGATGCACAACCTGTTTGGAATTCCTTCCCTGTGACCTAGCAAGGCTTATGTGTAATAAGTATGTCTCCATCACAATACTTGTTCCTTTTATATTGAGATGGCCTCTCTGTCTTCCCTCACTGAGACAGAACTTCCTGTGGGTAGAGTTCTCTCATGACTCTTTGGATCTGTTGGGATCTTTGGGATTTACTTAAAGAAATGTCTTGTATTCCATAGGCATAGTAATATTTGCTTTTCTCAGTTATTATTCTGACTGAGCTTGTTTCTGCCTTTTAGACTTTTCACATGCTGAGACAGAGAGAGACAAGAGACAGAGAGAGATATGGTTTCCTATCTGGAAGGCTCTTCCTGCCTGATCTTTATGAGATGGCTCCTTGTCAAAGTCAGCATAGCCATCATGTTGTAAAGCTACAACCAAACATTTGCCTGTGTTTCCATGTACTGGATGTGTACATGCAACTAATTATGCAAAATTAATTGATGCTTACCAAAGTAATAACAATTTATTACAATTTTTTGTTTTGTCAGTTGTGGGGTGTGAACTCTGGGCCTGGTCACTGTTGCATGGACTTGGTTAATTGGAGATAAGAGTCTCATGGACTTTCCTGCCTGGGCTGGCTTTGAACTGTGATCCTCAGATCTCAGCCTCCTGAATAGCTACGATTATATAGCTATTCATACCTGAATAGCTAGGCATGAGCCACCGGTGGCTGGCTTATTAGATTTTTTTGAAGGGCCTTTTTGTTATCTTTGCACTTTCTTAGAAATTTTTAAATGGTGCACAACAAACATATATTGTTTTATGAAAATTTCTTAAAGTGGGGAAATTTACAGAATCAATAAACTGTATAATAAATTGCACTGCCTAATTATTTAAAGACTAGTGCTGTCTTTCTTTCTTCTTTATGAGTAACAAGTTCTTCCTTCTGTATGAGTGATAAGGCTGTAAGTGCTAACTTTTCTTTCTCCTTAGGTCTCATTTCTCGTCTCCGCTATCCAGTTGGGCTGATGGGCAGCTGTTTACCAGCCACAGCTGGTTTTAGCTATGGTAAAGTATATACATGTGCTGTGCAAAACATTGTCTAGTAAGGGACCTGACCCTCAGATTCTTTACATTTTCAGTTCTTCTGAGATGTCAATCTTAATGCATTTGAAGTTTAATTCCCATGTCTGAGATGTTTAAATAATATACCTCATAAGAGCAACTTAAACTTTGGGGAGAAATGTTTCAGTTTAGCAGTAGATTTCACTATATATTATCAAGACTCCTCATTCCTTTTGATAGCAGTTTTTATTCCAGTGTTTGGGCTGCTCTTTGGTTACAGGGTGGCGAGCGAAAGACAATTTCCCAAAAGAACATGTCAAAAATTGCTGCTGAAAGTATATTGGCTGTCATTTTTTTTCTCCCAATATACTTTTTGTTGTTTGGTTTGAACCCCTTTCTAGCAAAATGAGGTATCCACAAATCTGAGAATAAACAAGAGTCAACGAATCTTATTTTCTAATTTGATGGGATTTTTTTCCCTTAGTTGGACCCAAATTATATTTAAAAAATGATGACACAATTCTATTGACTTGGATTTGGGGTCTTGTTAAGTGGGCTATAAGTTTGATTTCAGGGTGTAATGGCTACCTCTATGATTTCTCTGCCTACAGATACTATGCATGTATATGAAGTTCTGCTGTGAGAAATTTATTTAAGTTAAATATTACCCTCCCTAATTTCTTAAAAATAAATATTTCAACTTTTTGGAGCCTATAGAAAAGAACACAACACACTACTTTTTCACTTGACTTATCTTACTTGGTTTTGCTAGATAAACAGAATTAGACAGTGTATATTCTTTTATATCAGAATTCTTGTCATTTATGAGTTTTGTCAGTAGAATTGAGTGTGGTTGATTCATTTTCATTGTGATGTAGTTCTATATTACACGACAATTCCATGATTCATTTACCCAAGCTTCTTTAGAATTATAACCATGTGGGTTGTTACCAAATTTTGACTCTTATACATTATATTGTTAGGAGCATTCATGTAAATCTTTAGATGAAGGGTACATTTATGTTTTAATGTCTGTAAGATAAATACTTTAGAGTGGATTGGTAGAATATGCACATGCTTGGGTTTATTAGATATAGTCAGTTTTCCAAAGAACATATACCATATTTATACTCCCTTTAATATAATATGTAAGAATTATAGTTGCTTCATGTTCTCTTCCTAACACGTAGTATTCTGACTTCTTAAAAACACATTTAAGCAGGTTGCTGGTAGCTCATGCCTTTAATCCTAGCTACTCAGGAAGCTGAAATTTGAGGTTCATGGTTCAAAGCCAGCCCAGGCAGGAAAGGCCTTGAGACTCTTATCTCCAATAAATTACCAAAAAAACCTGAAGTGGCTCTGTGGCTCAAGTGGTAGAGCACTAGCCTCGAGCAAAAGAAGCTCAGGGAGCTCCCAGGCCCTGAGTTCAAGCCCTAGGATGAGCCAAAAACAAAAATAAAAACAAAAAAGTCCTACACATTTTAACTGGTCACCAGTGGCTCATACCTGTAATCCTGCTACTTAAGAAGCTGAGATCTGAGGATTGAGTCTCAGTGTCTGAGACTCTTACCTCTAATTAACCACCAAAAAAGCAGAAGTGGAGCTATGGTTCAAGTGGTAGAACATTAACCTTTAGAAGAAAGACTAAGGGATAGTGCCCGGTCCCTGAGTTCAATCCCAATACTGGTATTAAAAAAAAAGGCAAAAAGAGAAAAAAGTATTTTAGCTAATCTGTGAGTATATAATTATATCTCATAGTGTTTAGAATTTTCATTTCCCTGAGGACTAATTATTTGATCAGCTTTTAGTAAGTTTAGAGGTCATTTGGATATTCTCTTAATGACGGAAGTCAACCTATTTGGCTTTAAAACTATGGCTATATATCTTTTGCTAATTGTTTTTATTCATTTTTTGAAAAGGAATTTGTTGTTGGTTTTATGCTTTTAAAGTATCTTCTCTCAGGCTGGAAAAGTGGCTCAGTGGTAGAGTGCTTGCCTCCCATGCATGAGGCTCATGGTTCAATTCCTCAGTACCACATAAGCAGCAAAAGCCAGAAGTGGTGCTTTGGCTCAAGTGGTAGAGTGCTTGTCTTGAGCTGAAAAGCTGAGGGATAGCGCCCAGGCCCAGAGTTCAGGCCCCACAAATAAAAATAAATAAATAAATAAAGTGTCTTCTCTCAATCTGCATCTAACCTTTTTACTCTTAGTGAAGTATTTTTGATGAACAGATAAAATTAAAAAGTATACTTTATCTGTATTTTCCTTTGTAATTTTATTCTATTGAATATATCTCTACAATATGAAGAAGTATAAGGTCATGAACATATGCTTCCATGTTAATTAATTAATTTAAGGTCATGAACTAAGGGTCTGGGTACTGTCTCTGAGCTCTTTTGCTCAAGACCAGGGCTCTACTACTTGAGCCACAGCTCCACTTCTGGATTTTTGGTGGTTAATTAGAAATATGATGCTCATGGACTTTCCTGCCCTGGTTGACTTCAAACTATGATCCTCAGATCTCAGTCTCCTGAATAGCTAGGATTCCAGGCGTAACCACCAATGCCAGAGTCTATGTTACTTTTACAATATCACTGCTATTAAGATGGCAAATACTCTGCACAGCTAATGCCAAGGGCCTTAGAGGCTTTACAAATCCTGCTATTAAATTGCATTGTTTTAAAGTTCCAGCAGATGGTGGTGCTGCTGTATGAAAGGAGAAGCTAAAAATGATTTAATACTCAGTGTTCACAGGAGTTATTTTAAAACTCTTCTAAAGTATATGCGAAAGCAAATTTCACTGCCAACATTCTCTTGGATGTATGTGATTTGGATGAATTCATTAGCCTGTTCTTCATGGAAAAGACGAAGCAAGGTGGAAAAGCTCTCTGGGGGTGGAATGAGAACAATAGTGGAAGGAACTCAAAGGAGGAAAAGAGAGAATCACCACATTCATCTGCTTTATAAGGCCCGTGGTAGGACTAAAAGACTAGAGAGAGAAAAAGAGGCAAAAAAAGACTGGGATCAATCACATATTAAGTCCTAACTCTAGTTTTGGTAGATTTAGTCTAGAAAGACACATCAATGTGCTTTATATCCTGTGTGCATTTTAAGAACTATAATTTGTTATTAATTCTTAAAATTTAAATTTTAAAACTCATGTCTTAAATTTCACATTTAAGCCACAATGAGAGAAGTCTCACTGTTCAATTGTGCCTTAACCTATATAAAAATTGAAGGAGAGGACTAGATAATTCTTAAATCTTTTCTAGCTCTAACATTCTAGCGTTCTTTCTTCTGTTTATAACATGGATGTCTAATTTTCCAGAGAAGTGGGAGATAGATCCATCAGAATTGGCTTTTGTCAAGGAGCTTGGAAGAGGTCAGTTTGGGATAGTCCACTTGGGAGAATGGCGTGCACATACCCAGGTAGCTATCAAGGCCATCCGTGAAGGCTCCATGTCTGAAGAGGACTTTATTGAAGAGGCTAAAGTGATGACGTAAGTATAAACACAGCTACATAATATGGTCTGACACCCTGGTGTCACAGAAAGAACAAGGACTTTGGAGTCTGACTCACCTGGATTTGTGTTGCAGCCTTGGCCAGGCTAGTTGTGCAATCTAGGCAACTTATTGGACCTCTGTGTAACCCAGTGTCTCACTAGTTCACTGTGCTAAAAGTGGCAGGAATGAAAAAAGCTTTTGTAGCTCAATTAGAGGTAGTTAATAAGTGCTCTTCACGTTTTCTTTTTTTTCCCTTTTCCAAGTAGCAAAGGCACTGGTTTTGTGTGATACTGCTCATCTTTTGAAAGGGCACCCCTTAGGGATGAAAAAAAGTTAGGACAAAGTATTTGCTTTTAAGAATTGAAGCATCCTGAGCTTTCAAGAAAAAAAAAAGTGACTCTTCATAGATCATTTGACTCTGTTCTTAATACGTGTAATTTTCCAAGATATCATTTTACCTCAGGTGAACCCATGTCGTGGTTTATGATTGTAATCTTAGCTGAACCAAGACTGGCCAATCATGTATCGAAGTTCAAATCAGCATTCTTTAAATACTTGTTCAAGATTTGTAAAGAAGAAGGAAAACCCCAGGTGGCATTACTTCAATTCTTCCATGCTGTCCAGAACAATTTACTTTTCTTCCAAACTTGTAGCCCTCAGTGGAAATAAAATAGTAAACAACAAACAAAAGTAATTAGCTGGACCCATTTTCCTTTGAAGGCAGAGCAATAATGTCTTTTAGGGGGATCTCAAACTATTACTTCCAACTATACTATCACAATATCTTTTCAATCCACTTAAATCGGGTGAAACTGGAAATAAATGATGATAAACACAATTTTCCAGTGACTTCAAAGGTTCCCAAAGTATCCATCTGCATTTTTACACTATAGCCATGTGATCAGGGATTTCCTGTCTCTAAAGGATGAAAGTTACAGTTCTGTTTGCAGGATGAAATAGACATAATATGAAAAGAATGAAAGCAGCCACGTGACAGGAGGAGAGTTAAATCCCTATCACATAAAAAGAAAGAGGTCTGTCTGACATCTTTGAGGGGATTCTTTCAAAGACTCAAGTTTCACTAGGAATTTGGGATTAGGGTCTCTGGAGTTGACATTTTGAGGGTGATAGAAGATATATGGCTGGTAGAGGAATAGAATTGCTTCCAACTGTACATAAAGGTAGGAATGAAGCATTGTGGGTATTTTTTGTCAGTTTCAATGGATATTCTTAGATTTGAACATAGCTAATCTTCTCTTAGTTATTTTTTAAAAAGTAAGGTAGGAAATATTCCTAATAGCCTATTATATGTGTATATATATATTCAATTTTAAATAGCTGACATACTTTGAGCTCTATTTGCCAAATACATGCAGGTCTGTCCATGCTTTTATCCTTCAGATTGTCAGCTTCACCCCTGTAAGGGTCTCAGTGTTTAAATTGAAATGCCCAAATGTTTTCTATTATTTTACCTCATTCTAGTTTCATAAAAAGACTTGTCAGTACTACAAAGCTTCATGTGTTTTACTTTTCTTCCCTTTTAGAATGTGGACACCATAATAAGAGGGCCATTTATTTGTCTTTTAGTCAGTTTAGTGAGTGCTTAAAACAATGAGTAGACTATACTTGGTGCTAAATCATAATTAATGCTTTTGAAGAAATAAATGAGTCTTTACTATAATTCAACTTGGTACATCCCACGACTTTAGTTTTATTGGTGAAAGGAAAAGGAAATTTAGAAAGCTTATGTACTTTACCTACCTTCCCAGAATTACAACTTCTATTGAAATCAAAACCTTGAACTGTCTGGATACAAAGTCCATGATCTTAACATAGTAAACAACAAGCATTTACTGAGAGACTCATCAATGCCTGGCCTTATACTTGTTACTATATTGTTGCACAATCATGTTAGGTGATTTTTGTAACACAGTGAAAGAAAAGCTTCAAATACATCCTGTGCTCTCAGTCATTATAACGAAGGATGTTGCTCTGGAGATCTGTGCTTTGGCCTTCTAGACTGTTTAGAAAAGTGAAAGAAAACCACACTGCTCCTCTCACACAACTTCCGTCCACGAAATCGTATTAACCTTTCTAATTTTACCATTACATCTTTTCCTAGGTTACATTTCTTTTTGAATCATATACCATGAACATGATCTTACATAATGTTAACTGGAATTAAGCGGGGGGTGGGTACATTTCTATTTCACAGATGATAAAAAGTCCAAAGTTAGAAAGTTTAAGTTGCTTCTGGTCAGCTAGCTAATAGGAGAAGGAGAAAGAAAAGCAAAACAAAGCAAACAAACAAATAACCCTTGACTAGTAGGGGTCCTTTATTTTCCTTAAATTATTAAAGTACTACACTGCCTTGAGTGGACCTTTTGTGTTAGTGGTTTAACTATGAGTTTCCATCTTTGGAAATAATTTATTAGTAGCAGTGCAGTTAGTGGATGTTGTGAATAAATAACAGGAATGAAAGCATGCGTAGGTACACCTAATTTCCCTAAGGACTTCTTAATATGTATCTTATTTTATTCATATGTCTACTCCATATGTCTTCACAGTAAAATATTTCACTTTTGAAAGAAAATTTTACTATTTTATGTTCATATTAAACAGGATGAATAAAAGAAAAGAAAAAGAGAAAAAGCCAAAGCCCTTGTCTTTCTTACTTCCCCTCTCTGAAGTTTTTTCTAGAGGAGTAGTAAACAACAAAGGTTTTTAATTGGACTCTTAGCCCCTAGTACTTAGTTAAATACTTTTTATTAATTATACTACAGTAATAATATTTTTAGTCAGCATATTTAGAAAAGAAAAACGGAACTGTTTATCATAATTCATGCTTAAATATAAATTGTATTACTAATTTCTACACAATACCCATAGTAATTAGAAATAGTTAATTTCTCAAAGATTTCACAGCATCTCTATGGCTTTGTTAAATAAAAGACAGCAACAATGGCACCTTCCTGTTTTGTTTGGACATTTACTTCAAAAAATTCCTGCTGCTGCGTATGTACAGACATTGTTCTACATTCTGAAAGTCTAACAATAAGAAAGATAGGTAAAGTTCCTAATTGCTATAAAGCATTTTTATGCATATGTTCTAGTGGGGAATGGGAGAGAGATGGGCTCCACACCAACGAATACAGGATCGGTGAAACATGGAAGAAAAGTAAGGGCTCAGGCTACAGAATAGGAGAATGTAAACAAGAGACTGGCTGGGTCTGGGCCTATGGAGACTAGAGGATCAGAAAAAATAGGAAGCTTAATTTGGTTTTCAAAGGTGGGGTGGAATAGTGCACTGGAAGTTACTGCAGTGGTCTAGAGAGGATGGTGAATGGGTTGAGGGCAGGGATGGATAAAAGGAAGAAGTTTCAGCATATTTTTTTGAGGTCAAGTGATTGAGACATAGTAAATTGGATGTAGCAGATGATAGGAGGAAACACAATGAACACAGATGATTCCAAGGTGTTAATGTGTGCAGATTCACCGAGAGTTCTACTTGCTGAGATGGGGAAGAATGCATAGATTTGAGGAAATATAAATAATTCTGCTTTGGGCATGTTTAATTTGAGAGGCCTATTAGATAGTCAGGATCATCAAATGGTCAGGTTTGAGAGCTGATTCTGGAGTTCAGGAGAAAGGTCAAAAGTATAGGGTATTAATTTGAGAAAGATCCTCTTGTGCGTATTCTCAAATTAATTAAAACTGTGACACTTGTCTAGAGTATCAAGGCAAGGGACTAGCTAGCCAAGGACAATATTAGAAACAAAAGGGCTAAAAACACTTAGCCATTCTAACTGGGGTGAAGTGGAATCTCAATGCTGTTTTGATTTGCATTTCTTTTATGGCTAGAGAAGTTGAGCATTTCTTCATGTGTCTATTGGCTATTCTTATTTCCTCTTCAGAGAAGTTTCCCTTTAAGTCTTTAGCCCACTTATTTATTGGGCAGTTGTTCCTTTGAGGATTTGTTGTTGGGGAATTTATTTTTTGTAATACATTTTTTATTGTAAAAATACTGTATAGAGGGGCTACAGTTACATGAGCAAGGCAATGAGTGCATTGCCTATCAAGTATTGTTACCTCCTCCTTTGTTTTTCCTCTACCATCTCTTCCCTCCAACCTCCACAACTACACTCCCCACCCCCAGCCTAAATTGTAAAGTTCATTTTTCAACATAGTGCCTTGTGCATCTCATTGTTACAATGGGTCAACCTACATCTCTATATAAGCATTTTTTCCCATCCCCTCCCCAAATTAGAGAAGTATATATACAAGATGCAGGGCACCAACATCAAATACAGTGAAAATAGGGGTTATACACAAAGAAACAAAAAAATTACATGGTACATTATAAATACATTAGAAACAATAGCAAGAAAGAAAAAAAACCACTTGTGTCCTTATCTTGGGGTTCATATTGCTTAACATCATCTTACCTGGTTATATGTACATAGCTTTTTTAGATATGAAACCTTTGACAGTTGTATGGCTAGTGAAGATTTCCCAGTCTGTGGGCTTGCTATTGATCTTGCTAGGTATGTCCTTTGCCATGCAGAAGCTCTGCAATTTCATGCAATCCCATTTGTCCAACCTTTCTTTGATTTATTGTGTTTCTGGGTCTCTATTAAGAAAAAAGAAAATTTCCTGAAGTAAGCCAGACCCAAAGAAACATAAGTTCTATGGTCTCCCTTATTTGTAATAATTAGTATACATTTAGGATAATCTTAGCAGATGAGAAGAATAGCTCAATAGCTACATGATCATAGTACATATGATCAGATAAGATGATGCTAAGCAAAATAAACTCCAAGACATGAACACAAGATTTTTTTCTTTGTCTTTGTTGTTGTTGTTCTCAATGTACTATGTGACTTCACTTTTCTTCCACCCTATGTTTTATCCTCTGTTGTTACTGTGTTCAATTTTGGTACCCTGGATATTGTATATATATATGTATGTATATATATATATATATGTATATATATATGCTTATCTGAACTAGGGAAGGGAAGGGGAACAACAAAATGGTGAGACAAAAGATAAAGGTGGAACTTATGGTGGAACTTATTCACAAGACAGTATGTTGGAAATGATCTGTAAAACTTGGGATTGTGAGGGGAGGGAAAGAGGGAGAAAAATGAGGGAAGGGGTAAAAAGTTAGACAGTAATCACTACCTTATTTACATAACCATAATCTGCCTGTAAATCACCTTAACAATACAATTTAAAAAATAAAAAATACTTAAATAATAAATATGACATTTGCTCTGCTATTTATCACATATACTTCTATAGACTGAGGAATAAAGTGAGGAATGCACTTTTGCTATTTGCTTTTTCTGTGCCCATGAGAAATAATTCTCTTGTTAGAATGACTCAATAAGAGGGTCTATTTCCTTTCCCCTCATAGGTTTGTGCTAGTGGTCTTGCTAAACAAATGCATCATAATGTTTCAATTCTCAAACACTTTCATGTGGGTATGCACTTGAGGGATTTCTTATGACAACTGGGTGTTCATTTTGAGACTTGTTTTTTCCCCATTAACCTACTCACATGTAAGATTGCTGAATCTTACATGTGTGAAAGCATACATTATGAATTTGAAAGGTAAAGCAGGCAGCATATTATACAGTATCAGTACGTTTATATGCATTATAGTTTCTAAGTTGAAGCTGTATTTAGTTCTGTGACTGTTTCTTCTCCCCATTTGTCATATATTTGCATTTACTTCATACATAAACATTATCTTAAGGTAAATAATATGCCCTTGTCACCAATTTTATTTTAGCTTTATGAATGAGAAGAAGAATTTTTAAGGTACTTTGACTAAGAGAGAATTGCTTATTATATAAATCTAAAATTGCTAGCACTGATTTGAAATTGCTTTTCTCTGGAGATCGGCTAGCATAAAAGGCCTTTAGAGATTCAGTGTTACCACTTACAGAAGAAGCAATCAACTTCTGAAGTCTCTAAGGCTAAAAGATTTTAGCAGGCAACATTGGAAGATTCTTGGTGTGTATGTAATTAGTAAATATACGGCAATTTTTCATGTTGGTAAATGTTTTAAATCTCCAACTTTGTCTAAAAATTTCATGTTAGGTGACTTTACTATTTAGAGTTAGTGTGTGTGTGTGTGTGTGTGTTTGTGAGTGCGTGCGTGCGTGCATGTAGGTGTCAGTCTGGGGCTTGAACTCAGGGCCTGGACCCTGTCCCTGAGCCTTTTTGCTTAAGGATAGTGCTCTACCACTCGAGTCACATTCCCATTTCCAGCTTTTTGCTGGTTAATTGGAGATGAGTCTCATGGATGGCTTTCCTTCCCTTGGCTGACTTTAAACCACAATTATCAGCCCTTAGTCTACCGAGTAGCTAGGATTACAAGTATGAGCCACAGGCTCCTGGCTTTAGAATTTAATTTTCTATATCAATCAATCACTTCCTCCTCCTTCTTGTATGTCTAGAATTTTCTATGTCAGGGTTACATACAGGAAGGTTGGGATTCAAGGATCAGGAATTCTGAGACCAGAGCCAGGAGAAGTAGTAATGAAAAGCAAAAGGATTACGAAACAACAAGTCTTCATTGACGATGACTTTAGAAGTGCTGCTCAAACCCTGACCCCACTTTCTCAATGCATAAAGCGGAAAGGAAACTGCTTGACTCTCTGTGGTTAGGTTGATGTTTGCCTTATCTTGGAGATGAAATTGACTTGGAGAAGATATCATTGCCACATTGTTCAAACGTTTTGAAACACAAACCCAATTTTCTTTTTTTAATCTTAAAAAAAGTTTTATTATGAAAATACTGTACAGAGGGGTTACAATTACACGGGCAAGGTAATGAGTACATTTCTTATCAAGCATTGTTGCCTCCTCCTTTGTTTCCCCTTACCATCCCTTCTCCCCTCCCCACCAAAGTTGTAAAGTTCCATTTTTGACCTAACGCCTTGTACATCTCATTGTTGCAATGGGTCCACCTGTGTCCCTATTTAAACAATTCAAACCCAATTTTCTTCAACAGGAAACTATCCCATTCAAGGCTAGTTCAGCTTTATGGGGTGTGTATCCAGCAGAAACCCCTTTATATTGTGACGGAGTTCATGAAAAATGGCTGCCTGCTGAACTATCTCAAGGAGAGAAAAGGAAAGCTGAGAAGGGAAACATTGCTGAGTGTCTGCCAGGATATATGCGAAGGGATGGAGTATCTGGAGAAGAGTTGCTATATTCACAGAGATTTAGTAAGTGTTGTGTAAGTTCACTTGCATTCTATGTATTATACCTACCTTCAGAGGGACGTACAATCACTTTCAATAATTCAAAGAATATATCCCTTGGCTTAATTTGAAAATACTTTTCTATTCATGCAATTTCTTGTGAAAGTATTTTTTATATTTTTTAGTGATGCTGGAAATGGAACCCCAGGGCCTTTTGCCTAAGAGAAACAACTCTCCCACTGAGTTATATCCCACCCCCCAGGAATTTTATTTGTAATTGCCCCTTAGTGCTTTAACCATGTAAATTTTCACTCTAAGTATGCCTGGAACTTATTAATCACCTATCCAAGCAATTAGCCAAAATGATTTCTTTCCTTTCTTTTCTTCCCTTGCTTCTTTCTTTTCCCTTTCCTTCTATCTTTTTTCCCCTTTAATTCCCAATAATCAGATATGCATCCAAGGCCTAGTAAATATTATACTTAGCACTCTGCTAGTTTCTAGAAATAACAGCAGTGTAGGTAGAAGTTTCTCAAGCAGGGCTGGACCTTCCTGTGACAGTGGCTTGCTTCTAAGAGTATGGCAAAGGACATTTTTACTATCACAGATGGAAGCTAGAAATTCTAGACCATTCTTTGCTGTAATGCTCAAAGAGCATTCCTGTTTTAAAAAATGACTAACTTGCCCCAAATCAAATGCTAACAGCACTGATTCCCTGGTCTTGCTTTCTCCCATTGAATAACACTTTTGGTTTGTTTTATGGTTATTCAAGATATTTATGCTATTCTTTCTATTTACCTGCATGTTTCATTTCTAAGTCTAAAACTAAACTCAAATGAAAATTAAGAATTCTATAAGAAAATAAGGTGACTCATTGTAACAATGAGATGTACAAGACACTATGTTGAAAACAAACTTTACAACTTTGTTGGGGGGAGTTGGGGAGGTGGAGAGGGAAGGGATGGTAGGGGAAAAACAAAGGAGGGGGTAACAATGCTCGACAGGAAATGTACTCATTACTTTACTCATGTAACTGTAACCCCTAAAAAGTACACTACAAAAAAAGAATTTTTTTTTAAATTTTATTTTATTTTATTTGTGAACAAACTGTACAGAGGGGTTACAATTGCATGGGCAGGATAATGCGTAATTTCTTACCAAGCATTGCAGCCTCCTCCTTTGTTTACCCTTCCCATCCCTTCCCAGC